TATGTCTGACCCAACCTGACCTTATCAGGTCGGGTCAAGTCAATTACCCGACCCGACCCGACCTGTTCGGAGCTCTAAGCAGAACCAGAGTCAATTATTAACGGAATTTTCATATTTTTAATGTATGCATCGCAATACAATGCCGTGACTCTCTTTTCAAATTTACTCACATAGTTCAATTCAATGTCCTCATTTTTTTCTTCCACAATAATTGGGTCTTTCAGCTTCTTTGCTATTGGCTTTCATATTGCTTTTAATATAGCCTGTCTGAACTTAGGATTCATAGCTATTAACTATCCATTGGTGATGCTGGTGGGTTGATCGAAAAATTGTTGAGGCATATATGGATTAGGGCTTTTAATCGAATTGAGTAAGATCGATAATTGATTGTTTCAATCAATTTGTCAATCGCAGAATATTGCCATTGATCAAAATTGGACTAACTTTAATTGATTTTTAATCGATTAAATTTCTATGAATGATCGATTAACAATTATTATGTTTGATCGATTATATCATTATGATATAATATAGCGTATAAATAAACAATAAACAAAACTAAATAATTAAAAAAAAAAAATTCCTTTTAAAGTTCAATGACATTCGTAAAAGGAGGAAAAATTTTTTTATTCTTAAGACATAGCAACTGGTTTTTTAACATTGAAGCTTTTCAAATAAAATAGTCATAGTTGTAGCATAATTCGATTTTTTCGTCATAAAAATGCATTTCAAAGTATCAGATATTTTATTTATAATATTTAAATTTTTAAATATCGGATGATCATCGCAACACGTTTAATTTTAACGTGAAAAATTCAAAATTTTTTGTTTAATATCCTTTTAAATGCCAGACCAGAATAGAAAACATAAACGTTAAACTAATATTATTTTGACCCGGTTAACTAAAAGAAATAAAATTGTTGATTTATCTTCAGATGTTAATCAGCAAGAACCTCAGTGGGTTGAACTTGGAAATAATAAAACAAGTTGAATGTGGAAGCATTTTAGAATCAAAACTGACAGACGTTGTTACGTTTGATTTGTAACTCAAATAAAATTCACAAAAATTAATAATGCTAAGACTAAACTCAGGGAATCAAAACGAAGATTCTTAGTAAACGTCAAAGATTATTCTCAATTAAACACGAGTAACTTCTGGATATTTCAGAGATTACGT